TTATACAAATGACAGAGAACATACTATTCCCAGATCTACATTTTATACATGTACAATTAAATGTGTTTTGCTAGCATACTTAAAACAGTAATTAGGAAATGGATCTCATCTTTTATCAAGGCACAGTAAAAGTTCATACTTTACATTGCCTGTGCTCGCACTATTCTACCTGCTTAAATATTTAGTACTCAAAGCCGTGTGGTTTACGTTGGAAACTAACAACTCGCTATCGTATTTGATTTAGTTCCTTGTATGTTCCAGATATGGTTCTATTATTTGTCTTGTCTTAAATGTTTGATAAAATCAAGCAACTTTACTTTACCATGTAAGAGGAGCTATTTCTGCTGTAAAACCTCCATTATCCAACATGGAAAGAGATACCCCGTGGCAACTAGCAAAGCATTTTGGGGTTTAGTTATAGCGAACGCTCAAGTATCTCTTTGCCACAGTGCTCATTCGCAAACATTTTGATTAACGACAATACCCAAAGTTGTCTTTGATGGCTGTGTCTATTACAATCCACTTGCTAGCTTCAGCACATATAACGTAATCTTAAAATATTTGTATCACCATCAGCTATTCTTATGAGTATGAAATGAAGGGACTCACCTACAGGAGTGCAGGCAGTCCTGAGGGATTTTTTCTTTTCTTTTTTTTAAAGGTAAAAGGAGAAGGTGAGGGGGGGGGGAGGATTTAACCTCCTAGAAAATATAATGTGCGTTTCAGTTTATAGTCGTTTATAGACGGCCCAAGAGCTGTGAATTCGAATTTGAAAGGGGTCATTATTGTTTTTCTTAGGTGGTTGAGATTCGGCGTAAAGCCACAACAGAACCATGACTCATGGCAGTTCATGGCCTTCGGGAAATGTGATAGAGAAGACTCAAAACGAGAAAAGTATCCACTTCCAGAGTCAGTTTTAAAATATTGAACTACTTAGAAGGGATTCGATAGAAGTTTGCAGCTTCCCTTAAGAATAGATATAGTATAGGAAATGACTCTGTTTGTTTTGGTGTGAGCGACAAAATATACATTTTTAGTGAAAACTTAAAGAACATTTAATTGATGTTTTCAAAGTTGAAGAAATAATTTGCTTGCAACTTACTTTTTTCTTTTTTTTCAGGATAATGTCTGGCGAGATATCGGAATCATGTTTGCTTTGATGGTTGGCTTCCGCATCTTGTCCTTTCTTGTTCTTGTCTTGAGAGCCAAGAGATCAAAAGGTTAAAGGTCAACTTAAAGACAACAAGCCACACTGAATATTGTTTTAACTAAAGTTGTTGCACAAGTATACAAATGTGTACATTACTGTTAAATCTTTGCTATGGATTATTTCTTTGATGAAGCCATACTACATTGCTACATTAAGTATTACAGGAGTACTAAATTAGCTGTTTTGTTTTCTTATCTTTATAGTACACGTAGCTAGAAGAATCTTATATGTTCACAATTTTTTATTTATTGGTTGTACTCCTCTGAGTATTAAGAGTTTGATGATTTTAATAATTCGGATGGTGCATAGGCCATCTGCAAATCTCAATGGGATGTCTTGACAAAACATAAATACCTTTCTTTAAAAGTATGTTATATATATAACATAGAATTGTGCGAAAAAGTGGAGAAAAGCTATTCGACAATCGTGTCTATTCTAGAGAGCGGTATTGTTTACTTCAATTGTCGATGGGCCCCACAAACCTTCATACCAATGCATTTTTTGTTATATGTAACAGTGTACAGTATCTGAATGTGCAATGTCTTTGTTGGTAAAAGGAATAAAGCGGGCAGTTTTTTTTAAACAAAGGAGTAACATATTCATGGCTGAATTTACTCAAATGTAATATTATACACTCCCTTGCTATGTATCTTTTCTGAACGTTTTAATTAGGCCTTGACAACCTTAACATCACACGTTTTAAATGCCAAAACTGAAGTGTGCTAAAAGTGGATTTGATAATGATTAAATATACTTTGTTAAATATCTCCGGAGAGACTGTTGAAACGTTACAATTTTTAACGTTATTTATTTGATATATGGATTATGTTTCATTGTTCACGTGAATATAACTGCATGCATTGTTCTTTAGGTTCCTGTTTTGTTTTTGTTTTTGTTTCTTTTTTTTTGTATCGTCTATGAGTGTCGATTGTTACGGTGTTTTGAAACTGAATTTCAATGTTAACTGAAATTCATGCGCAAATGGCATTCGTGCAATGTTCAGTGTTAGGTATGTGATCTATTAAGGAGTATGAACGCTTGCTGTTCATTTTTTTAAAATTCCACGCAACTGTGTATAGTTCTTTATTCTGCCCAAGTAAATGAATTCAAATACAGGTTATAGATCTAAACAAAGACCATAGAGCTGCACCTTTGAGATGGTGAATGATCTATACAAGTCGAGGTGTAGATCTTTCCTACCAGAAGATCAGGGGTGTGACTGAAAGACAGCAGTAAGAAGATGCGAAGGAGTAGGAGTAGGAGTAGAAAGGCTGCAGAAAGAGTCAGGAG